CTCATAGCTGCTGCCTCCTCAGCTTGATCACTGTTAGGGAACCATTCAAATTGTTGCTTTAAAACTGTAGTGATAAGGGGTCCCTGAGTGCCTGATTGTGTATATGTTCACCTACACAATACGTAGTCACTACATGTTACAGTACATCCTACAAGTGCTATGAGTCTTCCTCCCACTGTGAAAGGCACTATACCAAATGTAAGGAGTATTATTAATCAAGCACCCTGTGACACTGCTCTGCTTGAGGAGGCGCTATATAAATGCAAATTATTATTATCATCCCCATTCTCTTAAGTTGTACTTTTCATAACACTGATGGGTAGAAATAAATGAAAACAGGAACGAATACATGTACTGGATGTGGCTGTCACTTGACATCTGTGTAAGCTCTTCATTGCTCAAGTCATGCATTTATTCACAGTACTCAAAGCCCTGTGCCATTTATATTTCAATCAGCAATCCTACACTTACAGTGCACCACAAGATGAGCCCACTTATTCAGTCAATCTATTTTTCAAATACCTACAGGATTTTCTCCAGAATGTTAAATTAATAACCTTAACCCATACATAAATTTGCATCCCTCACACACACAGTAAACTGAATCTCTCACTCATGCACACATAAACTGTATACCTCGTACTAAATACATGAACAGTAAACTGTATTCAGAAGGTTTTGGAGGTTGGTACTTTTTTTGTCAGCCAGATAACAGCAAAATTACATTTGTACAGTGCCTTTCATGTTGGGAGGACGTCCCAAGGCGCTGGACAGACAGTGTTTCGGATCCGAGCTGGGGGTCGGGAATAGGGAGGGTGGAAGGCAGGGGGGCAGAGGGTGATCGAAGGCACTGTCGAAGAGGAGCGATTTGAGATGGGTCTTGAAGGAGGCAAGGGAGGGGGCGAGGAAAGGACTGCGGGATGGATTCCAGAGGGTGGGGGCAGAGTGTCTGAATAGCGGGGCAGGCGAGGCGGAGGACTGTGAAGCAGGCCGGAGCCCGCTGAGCAGAGGGAGTGGGCAGGTTGGTAGGGGTTTAGGAGGCCACAGAGGTAGGGGGGAGTAAGGCCATGGAGGGCTTTGAAGGTGAGAACCAAGACCTTGAACTATATCTTGTGTGATGGGAAGCCAGTGACATCTAAAACATGTGGAAACCCAGCACTCTGCGTAAGTGTATCAAACACAGACCACGAGTTACACATAAATATACCACCTACGCATGCAAATTTCCCTGTTTCTCACCAAGACTGCTTTCTTTCACCTCCACCACATCATCTTATCTCACTCATTAATCATGCCTTTGCACATTCTGGTTTCCGACCCTCCGTCTCACTGGTATCCCCAACTCCACCATTCACAAGCTTCAACGAATTCAAAACTACACAACCACTCCTCACCAGTCTCCACCATCTACCTGTCTCTTGGTGGATCGATTTCAAGATCCTCATCCACAAATCTATCCATCTCCTAATCTCTTCAACTTCCTCCCACACTACTTTTCTACTTGAGCCCTCCACTTAGCTAACTCGGCTTTGCTGTGCCAAGCCCTGCTCTCTCCACACCGCCATCAGTGGATGAACCTTCAATTCCTACAACCCTATCCTCAGCTACTCACTCCCTCTGCCACTGTCTCATCCCCTCTCTTCCTATCTTTAGGTCTACCTGTTCAAATGCCGGTACGGCCACCTTCTGCTCTCCCCTCCCCCTACCTGTCACCCTCTCTGTGTCCAGCTTCATAAAGCACTCCGAGATGTTGCCCTGTATAAAGGGTCCTATGTAAATGCAAGTTGTTGTTCCAAACTGCAGCCATGTTGCTTAGTTAGTGCTGACCTGCCACTTTGACAAAGTTAAAGTTATGTTAATATTTGGTGATTGCTGGCATCCCTGGGGCTGGTAATAATCACCTTTGTGATTCTCACCTGCTAATGAAAGACTTTATTTTAGTGGATTCCTGTCTCCCAGTGGATCGATTTCAAAATCCTCACCCTTACTTATAAATTTCTTCACACCCAAGCAAGATCTCTCTGATCTTCTTTTACTCTAGCCTTCTGCTCACTCCATCTGCTTGGCAAACTCAGGCCCTGTACTTTTCATGTCACCATCAATGTCCGAGCCTTCCTTTACTATGCCCTGAACTATGGAACTTCCATGCTCCACCATCCCTCTCTATCTAGTGGAGTCCTGTGGCTCAGTGGATAGAGCACTCGCCTCTCAAATAAGAGACCTGGATTTCCAGCAGGATGAAATGTTGTGCAAGTTTTCTTACTCCACACACTTCTGTTACCTAGAGGTAAGTAGGAACATGGTTGATTGGCGGATCGCATTTCCGGGGGTAATAATTCCTTCAAAAAAAATTGGTCACTCAAATCCACGATTGTTTGTGGGACACTGCTGTGCGCAAGTGGATCCCTCATTTCACCCACAAGGTATATATGGTCAATTCACTTTACAGTATATTCTCTGAAGCACTTTGGAACATCGTGAAGACATGATATCAAATGCAAGGATTATTAGTTATATAAATATGTCTTTACTTCCCACTTAAAACCTACCTCTTTAACCTTACTTCTGGCTCCCGGTGAACCCCTTTCACTCTCTCCCCTCCCTTTGTCAGTGTTCAACCCAATGTTTGTAGAGAGCTCTGAGACATTACCCTAAGTGAAGGGCACAATGTAAAGTCAAATTCCTCCAGATAAAATTGTTGTTGTTGATATTTATTCTGGATTCTAGCTGGACATGGAGATTTAACGTTTCATCTCAAGGATACCACCCCAGCACAGTAACGGAGTGTCAGCCTAGCCTAGACTATTGGCTGCTGTGCTCACCTGCTGTGCAGTAAATCCTGTGAAGTGCTGTGAGATGTCCTCCAACACAATATCAAATTTAAGGATTATTGTTTGTTGTTCCCTACAATAGCTATTGCGCAGGAAGTGAAGATGCAATTTACACTAATCTCAATTTACCAATCATTTTACTGCAAAATTATAGGTAAAAATTCCACCTGGGTCTTAATGTAGCATTTCAGAATGTCCAGAAATTGACAAAATCTTAAATGGGAGTTTTTAATTTTGAAGCTAGGTTTTCTGTAAGTTTCTTTCTAAAAACTACAAAAAGCAACTTCAAAGTTAAAACTGAATTCAACAATTTGCCAAATTCTTCACATTCTGAAATTCTATACAAATAGAGTGAATCCAGACCTTAGGTAGAATTTATATCCAACCTTAACAAAATAACCAGAGATGGTGTGGTGAGCAGGGAGTTCTGAGAATTTCACTGCTAGAGAATGTACTAAAGACATTTGAAGTTTAAACAGTGATCTATTTTAACCCCTACAATATTGATCACATTGTTTGGTACACCAATCATCTGGGCTTTGAATTCACTCGCCACACAGAAGATCAATTTGAAACCATTCGAGAATGAAACATGAGCCTAAACTTTGTTGATTCAATGCAACGTGCCAACTAGTATCTCAAAGGTGGAACAGAAGCAGACTGTAACTGAATGGGATCCTGGAGCCTTGGTTTTCTGTAAATTTGATTGACTGGTGCACATTGACCCAAATGACGTTTTGGCAACACTTCTAATAAATTACAGTAATTCTATTCAGTGGTACATGAAAGCCAACGGTATGGGGCTCAGAGACTGTGTGCACTGTTTGGTGGGGAACACAGGCATATCAGAGGCTCAGAAACACTGAAGATTCCTCAGACTTTAAAACCTAAGTAAAACAATGAGGTCATGAAAATAAGATAAAAACAATCGGTCAGTTGGTAAAGCTGCTCCCCAGTGGGAAGTTACTGTAGACCAGGCCAGGGTGAATCTGAAACATACGATGTCTTTTTTCATGCTTGCTTACAGAAACAGCCACTGCATTTGTCAGCAATTTAAACGCTGTAACATGTTTTGATGGGTAAGGCACTGAAAAATGCAACCTATTTCCTTCAAGTAGGTTTCATATTCTAGTCTTTGGTACCAGCCGACCTGGAAGTGCTACAATGTACCGGTCAGATGTCCTGACAGCATGATAAGGTGGCATATCAAATGCAAGAATTATTATAATATCTAGTGACCAAATGCTGGAAGGTTCAATCAGTAAATGTCAAATGTCTGTGGTCAATTACCAAAGGGTCATAAATGAAAATAGGTACTAGAAGAACTGCGGGTGTCCAGTAGTCACATCTCAGCACATCAAAGTAGTTGTACCTTTAGTGTTAGTGTTCCCACTGCACAGCTACAAGCCAGAATTCAAAATGAGGTTGCTATTTGGGTTCCAGTGACACACTTACTTGCAGAGAGCTTGCAAATCTATAGTATTCAGGCAATACAAAAACGTACATGTTCACCCAGTTGTTAAATTGAGTCTGGGCAAAATGACAAGATGAATTTGGAGCTTTCAATTATTCAAACTAGCTTCACTTTGAGGAGACCAAATACATGCTGTGTTATTGCTGTTCAGTCACCTTCCAAGATTTGTGATAGTCCCATGGTTTTTCCTGGCTCTAAAGTCATACAGTAGGAATAAAAGGCTCTCTTCGGGAACCGTCTTACTGACTCCTCATGATATTTGCCTACAAGTACATAGATACTGCATTTCACAAGGGGAAAAAAAAGGAAGCGCTTTGAGACGTTGACAACCTGATAAGGCGCTGTATGAAGTGTAAGGATTATCATTATGTCGTGTCTACAGCAGAAATCCCACACACATCACACCAACTATTGAGACCTTGGCTCTGATCAGACATTTCTCAAGTAGACGGTCTCAGGAATTGGTACGATGTGTATGACATTCCATGGTTCATGTTGCAAAGTGCAAATCTTGTTCCTTTCCTTAGAAGCATTTTGCAAACCTCCGACCACCCCCGTTCTGCATCACTGAGAGCTTCTAAAGTTAAACGGAATTGAAATAACATTAAAACACCCCTCAAAATTCCTCAGTTGAACCGAACTACTGGAAATGAGACACAGTGGCACAGCAGAGGGAAGGAGAAACTGAAACAAAGTTAGAAGGAATAGTTGTTTATTTTAATCAAAACTGGATACATTGTGAAACTGCATCAGATGGTCCTGCACTGTAAGCTCAATATTTTGGTTCCCCCCCCATCCCACTACTGAATAATAAAGTGAGTCCCTTCCCCCACTTGTCTGCAGCACTCAGTAACAGATGATAAAGGGAAAACTGCAGTTAGTCACATCTCTGTACCATGTACACACAGCCTGAGTGGTCAACAAGCCACATGTCTAGTGGATCAGTCATACAGAAGAATCATTCACTGACTCACTTACTTTTACCACCAACAAGATAACTGAGGTGATCTTAAAACAAACACTTTGTTGACTGGTTATAACTTTTTATTTTAGAAAAAGGAAGGAACTCATTATTGTTTTTTGTCAAATAGCAAAAGAATTTTGATTAGATTTTTTTCAAGCCAGGAGGGAGAGCGAAAAAAGTTTCAGCTAAACGTGCTGCACACATCAAAAATTAATGGAATTGGTTTGTATTAATGAATTGATGGTGCAGTATGCCTCAGCTATCTCAACTCAACTTTGTATGTTAACTCATCTGCCTCAGCAACACCGAGAATAGCTCCTCCAAAGTGACATCAGCATTTTTGGGTTAACAACTTAATTCAAACAAAACATACGGTTGAACCACATCCCCCTTCTCCAAAAAAATCATAATTCTTTTAAAAAAAAGTACAAACGAGGAGACTTTTTAAAGTGGTACGCAGAATAAATCAGTTTAAAGAAAACATTTCGATCATTAGCTACATCTAAGCACAAGATCCAGCCTCACAATAGCAGGCAGTAGGACCCAGAGAAAACCCAAGCTGTGTGATCCATTGAAATCCTGTCTTCGGGGAGTGGGTGACTGGCCAGTATTTGCACTAGAGTGTTGTTTATACAACCAACTTTATACCAGCATAAAGAAGTGGCACAGAAGCCAATCTGTTACATGTTGGCAGCATAAAACTGAGCTCAACAGAACAATACCAGTGTGAAAGCCACCCAGCTCCTTGGGAATCCTAACCATATGTTCTCTTTGTAAAGCCCTCAGGCATCTTGAAGCTGGGTTGGCAATGCCAGACAGCTGCTGTCACTTTTCATGTCGGAGCTGGGCACTGGATGGCACCACAGACATAATTCTGAGTGCGGAGCGTGCCAACAACACAAGCCACAATCTGGGCATCTGCACACTGCAGAATAGGCAGAATGGCGTCAGCACATTTACAGTAGCTATCAGAGGAGCAAAGAGAATCTCACACTCAGCCATGTACTGCAACAAGACAAGTGTAAAAATCCCTTTTATGACTGGTGTACCCTCCAGTTTGCGTTTGGTTAAAGTAAATAATACACACGAGTGTATAAATAAATGATACACGAGTACTCAAGCCAGTTCGTTTTTAAAAGTTTCTCATTTCCTTTCCACTCGTCAGCCATGCTGCTGTTCAACTGACTTCTAAAGTGAAATCAGCCACAAGTATTCAGCTGTCACACAAGTGGGGCCTTAAGCTATGGCAACTGTATTATTTAATTACACTTCCTTCTCCCTTTTCTATATAAAAAAGTATAAGATCTGAAACTTACTCCTACTTCTGGAGTTTTTTTTTGAAGAACGACAGATCTAGTTTTGCCTCTCTCCAAAGAATAAGGGCTACCAGCAATATTATAAAATACAAACCCTCCCTCCCACCCCCCCACCACATACACCAGGACCCTATTGGATGGATTCTGCTCCAAGACGAGGACTGAGAAATTGAATGAAATGGAATGCAACAGGACTTGGTCTTTGGAATAAGGTGCATTTTAAGAGCAAGAGGCAGAAACTAGGGAGAGCATCAGTCTACACCTTCTCTGTCCTCTGCCTATCAGTAATATCAGTCCTTTGTAAATGTGTGCCAACTAAATTTCTTTTAACATTTATGTAACAGTAGTCATGGACCCTAACCCCCCTCCCCCCCCAAAAAAAAATGTCCTTCACTTGACAGTCCCAGTTTCATTCTAAATTACAAACTTCAAGAGATCATATTGGCACAGCCTTTGCCAATCATTGACTGACTGCAAAGAGCAGTCAACTGAGTGTCCTCACCATTGATATCAGGGCTCCAATCTGAACCCTCTCGGATCTCACACCACCAGCTTCCAAAGCAGGAACAAAAGAGTTGATCCAGGGAGTGTGTGGGATTCCACTGCTGGTGGAACTAACCCCTGCCTGGGAGTGAGTGGGACATCTGGTCCACTGGTCCCACATGAAATAAGACAGACAAAATCAAAGCTGGCAACAATGAGAGAAGGTACATTCAAACCAGCGGGCTGCATTTTGATTATGAACAGCCCGTCAAGGCCACACTTGTAAGGCACTAACACCGGTGGCTAGGTTATCGACCAAGTAACTGAAGTGTCGTAGCACCTGCAGTGGTTGGTTCAGTGTCATGCACCATGCTGGCCACCACTTTACACAGGTGCCGTGACCAGTCTCCAAAACAGACAGACAGACACTTGATAATGGGTGGTACCAAGACTACAGCAATAGGCTTCACAGTGTGTGAGAGTGCCACTGCGGGTGTCCCGTTGCAACAGACCATCTGGGAGTGTTGTTTTAAAGCCAGGAGAAGGCCTGATCAGGGAGCACTTGCTGCAAAAACAATACATTAATGCTGTATATACCCTATAGGTCCTTGGCCCCTGACGTCACATTTGTAGTGACTTTAAGGTTAAGGAACAAACTCTAAACTATAGAAACAAGCCCCATTCAGTGACAATACATAATTATACATTAAAAAAAAGTTGTTCGGAAAAATGCACGAGCCATGCATTCTCCGTGCAGGAATGAGAAAAAGACTGGTTTATCTAAATATTGCACAGACTGAAAGTAATGAATCACATAATCATGGGAAACTTCTCACATTATTCAGCAACTACAAAACATAAAGAACCTCTGTATCTACAGTAGTCGCGACTTCATCGGTCTCTATGCCAGCAGTCTATTAAGACAACTCCCGAGATAGGGAGCCATGTTTTGGGATTCCCTTGTGCAAATTCTTTTTTTTTTAAAAAAAGGCATCAGGCTGCGCGAGGCATCTGTTCTCCAACAGAAGGAAAAAAAACAAGTTCTTGCTTAGCGTTTCCTTTCCTCTTCCCTGTAGGACTGTTTAGGCACTCGCAGTCCAGCATCTAGGCTGCAGCCTTGGTCTGGGATTCCATCTCCGCAGCACGCTTAAGCGCGACATCAACCAGCAGCTGAAAGCCACTGAAATCCTGGTTGAGGTCTGGAGGAGTGGGTGGAGGAGTGTTGAACAGTCCACTTTGATGGCTTGCATTGGACCCCACCTGGACACCTCTGTGGCACCTAGCACTGCCATCCAGCAATCTTGACGTGGACAAAGGATGTAGAGTAGTGATGCCCTCTACGCCGTCAGCGGGAGGGCAGTAGTGTAAAGGCACATCACCTAGTGCGGAGACAGTAGTGTGGCATATGACCGAAGGCCTTGGGAGAATTCCACCTGCAGATGAAGTGCTACATGGAGAGCCCTCTGCAGTGTCTGGACAAGAGCTAGTGGATCCAATTGATCTTTCATCTAGGTCAGAGATGTAGGCTTTGGCAGCAATAGAGGTTTGCTCCGTATTCTTGCTCCCTCGTCGAGAGATGGTGAAATTGTTGGGGTCCTTGCCATCTTTTCTCAGCATATCTGGTAGCAGTCTTCGCCGTGCATTGATGAACCAATTACAGACCTAGAATACAGAAAAAAAACACGGAAAATCAGTGGAATAAATCCCCTTTCAGTTTCAAAGTGGATGCATCCGCTGGAGTAAATTATTCAAAATGTTGTGAACATTGACCTTACAACAATAGTGGATCAACACACCATCACATTAAGAGATAGAAATTGCACCTGGGTCCACATTTACTCTATTCACGTAATATTTCCAAGTGTCAAGAATTTGGCAAATTCCTAACTACAGTCGTAATTTTGAAGATGGTATGCTTCAAGAGCTACAGAATGCCAGCTTCAAAGTTGAGAGGGAATCCAGTGTCATGCCAAATTCTGGACACGCTGAAATACTAAGAAAACATATACCAAAGCTGGATGGATTCCTCGCCCCCCTCTAAAAAAAAGTGAGACAGAGTCCAGTAATACAAAGCAACTAGGTTAGTCATTCCAGCAGCCACTTCCTTATAAATACACAGACACTAAACTCACAGTTAACTACAATTCCTGCAAAACACTGTGTATTTGTATACATTACCAGTCCATACCACACAGGACATTAGAGCAAATAAACCAGCTTGATTTAAGCATTTATGCTGCAAGCTTATAAAACATGGTCCTTGAACATCACCCTAAGTACCCTTCGCCGCCAGGTACTGCACATCAAGTACTCCCACTCTCTACTGCATACTATCAATCAATATGTAAGACATTCTCTTTCCTTATAAAGATCAAGTACTCCCACTCTCTACTGCATACTATCAATCAATATGTAAGACATTCTCTTTCCTTATAAAGATTTGGGAAAAAGAGTTTATGAATGGGGGAAGTCAGTAAATCTTGCTTTTTGATAGCACAGATTAACTTGCCACTCGTGCCCAGAACCATCACAGACTGTTACGTGAAACTACTACGGTGAACTATTACTGCCCTAGACAGTTCTTCCAGGTGGAGATTCACTCTACAGCACCAGTTCTCTGCAGCACCAAATATTTAATACTGACCTAACACATGAAGACATTGTCCTGAACAGAAAAGTGTAAGCGCAATAAAGATTGCTCATATCAGTTAACAGCGGTTCAGAACTCAGGACTGCCTACTATAGTGGTAAAGAAAGGCACAAAAACAGATTTTCACTATACACCAATGTAGGTTTAAGAAGTAACAACGTATTGACGTATTGTATAACACTTCAAAGGCTGAAAATACAAATAAAGTACACACCCTATAATAAGCTACAATGAACACATATATACCATGTTTAATAAGTACTCTGCAAACTGATACAGCTTTATGGTCAGAGTCCTTGGCGGATTGAGTAAAACTGGTGGATTGAGTAAACTGAAACAAAGACCAGGAAATGTCTGGTTCAATTCCTGATCAGTGTTGTTTGGTATAAACTAATCTCAGCCAGAGCAGCAGTGGCCAATTAAACCAGCCCTGAGCCACCCTTTGTGAAGAGAAATGAAATTTGGAACTTCCTTATCTCTATGACTCAGTGATTCAACACACTTGTGCATTTTCAGTAAAGTTTCTAAACAAACTAAATTTTTAAAAACATTGTGTTGGGGATAGTCATTAAAATATATAACACTTCTGAGTAAAAAAATGTAAGTCTATGAAATAAGAGAGAACTCCAGTTGTGAGGAGTGACTTCTCCCAACGCTAAACCTCAGCAAAGGGATTAAACATAAAGAAGCCTTTGTGCCTTAATATAAACACAAACCTACCACAAACGTCAGTGGCACACATGTGTGTGGAGGAGGGGAGAGGGAGACGGAAGAAAGAAAAAACAATCTTCAAATGATGAATAAGTATAACAGCTTCAAACTCAGCAGAACACTGGTGCAAGTGCTAACTTTACATTGCGAGACTGCTCGCAGAGGTAAGCCCAGTTCTACAACAAGCCATATGAAAAGCAAGCAAATTAACCGAGACCCTTTTTTATATAGTCAGATCTCCCGCTCCCCCTGCAGTGAGCCACCACAGTCTACAGAATGAAAAAGCGTTCGCTCTGAAGCAAAGGGTCGTACAACCACATTCCACAGCTGTGAGCAACGCATGGCATCATCAGTGCACAAGTGTGGTAATGACGGGCCTCACCAGCACAAACACTTTAAAAAGGTTACTTTTCCAATTATTACTATCAAAATAAGGCAAGTGTGACAAAGCGGGTAAAAACATTATGGCTTATATCCAAGACTTAAGAACATAACATAAGAATTTACTAGGCAAAACAAGACCAAGGTCCATCTCGTTTGCCTTTCACCATCCTGGCAGTCGCTTGACATGCCCTGTCCCAAACTATATACAGTATTCTGTGATATTATTTTCCAGCAGAAATCTATCTAATTTGTTCTTGAAATAAACAATATTTTCTGTTTCCACTGTCTCTCAGGGAGCCTGGTCATAAGTTTACTACTCTCTCACTGAAGTGAGCTAATATTATACATGGAGCAAGTTTGTTGAATCACTGAGCCAGTGATTGGAAAAGCAGAACTTCTAAAATACCCCCCATTCTGCATTGTAATGCAAGCACCCACCCATTTGGGAGGCAGCAAAAGACTATGTCAGCACCTTCACTTCAGCATTGCAAACCATCACAGAATAAAAGCACCCGCAAACAGGGCAATGTATTGTAAATAGTCACGTACAAGTATCCAAACACAAAGGAAATGATCTGCATATTCAGCATCGTTAATTTTTTTATGTAAAAAAAGGTCACTCCTTCCCACTGTGAGCATTTGTTGCTGCTTCATCTCAGTACCAAAATACATCTGAATGCACCTGGGATTTGGAAACAATACACCGCCCTGCCTCCCCCACCACACTCACTCATCCAATTTGGTTTGAAAAACAGTTACAATAGAATTAACTGGTGGAGCTGGCTCAACTCAAGGATGAGGCACACAAAAGTATCTAACACAATTACTCTTGTTAGACATGTTTGAAGTTGGAATGGAATTTCCCAAACAAACTGCAATCTGAGCTCCAGCATGCAGCAGAGGCCAACGGAATCAACGACACTGCTACCAAAACCCATCTCAGGGAATACTTTTACTCTGTCTCCAATTCAGACACAAAATAATAATAATAATAATTCTTGCGTTTGATATAGTGTCTTATCACGTCTTCGAGAAGTCTCAAAACGCTTCACAGAATATACTGTAAAGTGAATTGACTGTATATTTTGTGGCGAAACATACCAAACACGCAGATTAACAGGCATGGACATCATGCACTGCAATATATAAATGATTCAGCGTTATGACTGCCGTGGCCCAAGATGAGTCCCATCACAGCATAGGATAAAGAGGTCCTGCTTTTAGACACCACTTTCTCCCAGTTACAGGCAGGCTGAGCACTCTGCTCTGTAAAGTCCCAGCACTGTCTGGTTAGACCTGTACAGGCAGTGGGGAAGATATGCAGGAAAATGCATTACTTTGAAATAAGTACATATTATATTGCGGAGTTTTGCTCTACACCGTAACACAGGGTGAAATCCACACCATGAGCTTCAGGACATACATATAAGATATATATGTTTCATACACAAGTGGACCATTGATCCATCTCATCTACTCAGGCAACATCCTAAAAGATTCCCTCAACACATGAATTGCAACATCTAATAACCCAGAATCTTTTTAACCTCTCTAGTACTTTTATCCAATTGCTTCATCCACCATCTCCTTCCTATTGCACCACATATGTCAGAGATACCTGTGAGGCTGAATCAGGTGTCAACTTTTTTTTAAAAAAAGGTGTGGGTTCAAATTCCACATCACGGCACATTTAAGCTTACATTCCAATGTAATACAAGGGCTGCATTGCCAAAAGTGTTATTGTTCAGATTTTTCTTTAAGACAGGTGTCTGATACATGCTTAAGAGTAACCAAACTAGACAGAGTTCCATATATCTATACCACCTATATATGGAAATGATCCCATACCTGGAATAGAAAAGTTCCATTGTGGGTTATTATTAAACATTGTGAGCCATTAAACTGCCTGTCCTCAAGTGGATGTTAAAAATCCTATGCAGCTCATCATTATCATCATTATTACTACGATACAAACAGCAACCCATTACCCCCGTCCACGAGGGAAACAAGTCACAACCCTCACAAAGGAAGCCAGTCACCACCCACCATAAACTGTGTGTACCCAAACAAAGTGTGTTTATAACTGATGCACATCAGGAGCAGTAAGCAACTAGTTATCAATTCTGATACAGAACAAAACTATTTAGAAATTAAGTTTTCAGATGCGAGAATTCCACACTTCACTTGATGTTTAACTGATCAGGCACTTAGGAATAGATTATTAGTTTAGACCAAGCACAGAAAGTGCTATATCAAATGCAAGGATTATTATTACTACTACAAATTGTCCCAATATTAACCAGATGCTAACTATACACACCCAAGCATTCCCGCAGTGTATCTTTATGGAAGAAAAGACCATTTCATAGAGGTTTGTAAAATAAAAAAATCTGGAGAACATCTTGTAGCATTTAAACCACAAACTTCTGACTGAGGCAAGGATGCTACCAACTGAGTCATGCTGACACCTAAAACACAGTAATCTGTACAGTACATCGATTCAAGAAGTTGGTTGAATTGAGGGAAGAAAATAATATTTACAGTACATAGCACTTCGGCCTTCTGCTGCAGTTCTTTAGTATTGCCTGAGGATCTGGGTGCTGTGGAAACTGTCCCGAGTGAATATGTCGAACAGAAGCCCATCAAAGCAATTTTGTTTCATTGCCTTTGTGGGTTCTTGCAGACTATGTAATGCATTGCCCCCAGGAAATGGAACAGCTTTCACATGCTCTGTGTGGGCATTGGGGATTATGGGTTGAATGGCCTTTCCTCATGCCTTTCCTTTGTGGCATTCACACTGAAGAACAGACTCCACAGAGGCTGGATCAGATGCCTGGATTTTATGTTCGAGTTACTACTTATGTTTCTTTCCTTATCACCAGCTGTACAATATCTTGTCAAATATTAAAACCTACTG